ACACAAGAAACATTAAAGATTTTAGCAATCTTGCTATTCCCATTTTAAGAAACGATTCTCAGAGAGAAAATAAGCTTGTTCTCAAACATCAAATAGTGTACACAGACAAATACATCCTTAGAGAAAGATAAATACATACCCTTACAGAAAGCCCTCCTACAATCAATCCACACTTGATATCAGTAAACTGTGCAAGATTCTGAATCATACTGTGAATCCTGCAACCATTCCAAAGAAACAAATCAGCTTTTTCAGCAACAAGAATCAAAAGGACTTGAAAGTTTATTATTGTTATGGGAGGCAAAGTAATGCTACTTACTGGACGGCCAACTCCCTAGTCGGAGTGAGAATAAGAACTCTAGTAGCAAAGACCCGCTTGGGACGGAACAGCAACCTCTCAAGAGTAGGTAAAGCGAATGCAGCAGTCTATTACAACAAGGTAAATTGAAATCATCATAATCAAAAACTCTATACATTAGTTAAATACCTAAACAAAATCTCAGTATTACACAAAACCATCAATCTAGTACTCACCTTCCCTGACCCAGTGATGGCACTGGCACAAAGATCACGCCCTGTAAGTGCTAAAGGTATACAAGCTGCCTGCATTGTGCAACACAAGCGATTCAGATAAAAACTCTAATTAGTAACTGAATTAGAACACTCTTGTGGGATGAATTGGACCTGAATCGGAGTAGGTTTCTTGTATCCGAGAGTTTCACAAGCTCGAAGCAATGGACGAGAGAGATTAAGCTCCATGAAAGTATCAGCATGAAATGAAACTCCATCCACTGTAGAGAAGAACGGCTTGGGAGTAGCATCTTCTGGTTTGTACTCAGCTGCCTCATCGTCTTCCGAAAGATACTCCTCCTTCACAATCAAAACCACATTTCAATTTCTCTAATAACCTAATTCGAAAACTTATTCAATCAATTCAAAATAAAAGATTTACTTGTTTGTCAGTTTCAGCATCGGAGGCATCTTCTTCTTCTTCTTCCTCTTCTTCTTCTTCATTTATTGAAATGGGAACTGGACGATGCTGAATAGCTTTAGAGATCTTTTCATCAATAGACGTTGTGTGACGGCGGGCGTGTTCTTCACCAACGGAGCTTGAGTAAGATGCAAAATCCCAAGGAGATTGAGCATCAGCATCTCGTTTCCGCTTCTCATCTTCTTCTTCTTCGTCGTCATCTTCTTCTTCATATTCCTCTTCTCCATCTTCGTCTTCTCCAGCTTCATGCTCTTCTGCTTCGCCTTCCTTTACGTCTTCCTCACTACTGTCCTCTTGATTGCGTATTAATTCGAGCTCGTCGTCACTAGCATCCTCAAAGAAGAAACTCGACGGCATTGCTAGGGTTTAAGAGGTTTCAGAAAATTTCAGAGAGACGACCGCCTAATCGAAGCAAGAGGTTTACTAATAGGTCTGGAGAAAAAACCGAACCGATTTAGCAAAAATAAACCATTCGATTCGTAATCTTAAAAAAACGGTTTGGTTTTATTTGAAACCAACAAAACCAACTTGTTTTTTAGCTCCTTGCATTTTGAAAAGTTTATAACTTTGGGCTGGGCTTATGATACAAGATTTAATGGGCTTATATAATTATTTTTTTCAAGTTGTTGTAACTTTGTATAATGATGTTAAAGAAAAAATGATGATACAAAACACCAAGATGTTATTTTCTTTCAAAAAAGGTTTGTATAATGTGTACATATTTAGCCAAAAAAACTTAAAACAGTTTTCTGTTTTCTTAACTAAAATAAGATTCTGTTTAATGAATTTTTTTTTCTAATGGAATTATATTCTTTCTTTTTTGTCTGAACAAGAAACTAATGTATATAGCTTGTAAATATGGAGAAAAGATTACTATGAAAAAGAAATGAAGGTAGGATCTTAAGAAAGTAGATCAGATATTTTATCTACATTTTTTCCTCAATCTAGTTTGGATTGGGAAAAAAACAGTATTTACTTGGAGCACATATATAAAGTAATCTATCACCTATGAATTAGTCATTAGTGCCTTTAGGGGTGGGACCAATCATGTATAGTTCCATAAACATCAATATCTTTCAAATTTTTGAGATAATGATATACACAAACTCAAAAAGTAATGAATCAAAGAATAATAATCCCTTAGAGGAAGCTATCATCAAGACCATAAACCTAATTATAAGCCTAACTATATATGTACATCTTTTTTTGTTCAACTATATATTTACATTTACATAGTTGAAAAATATATGTACATTTAATTAAAAATAAATGAATAAAAACAGTATTTTTTATGCCTATAAACCTATAGGAAAAGAATCAAACCAACAACCAACAGAACATAACCGATAAAATTCCCCGACAAGAATCTATGTGATACGGTGCCGTTTTTAATAGAATCTTCCGACTGCGTTAGTGAATCCAACCGTAGTTTAGGATTCGGACCATATAGCTTAAGTACACCTGCCACGTCATCAACCGTAAGGTCAACTTTCTTGGTCCTCGGTCGGAGACTCGGATACATAACCGCCGACTCCTGCGAGCTATGTCCTAATCCCAACAAGTGACCGATCTCGTGAGTCGCCACAGACTCCAAGTCAACGGCCACCTCTGAAGATCCTTTCAAGTCATCGTCGACGATCCACGTCTCCGCCGCGTCGAGGTGAAGCCTCCCGTTCTCCGGCGCAAAAGCGTGTGCTAAAGTTCCAAGTACACCGTCAAACGGAAGCCCGTCACCGTGATCACCAGCGTAGAATCCGATCTTTAAATCAGCCGTCGTGAAATCGTCGACTTCCTCGAAACTCACCGGAATCACGCTTGACCACTGTGAAAAAGCTCGCCGGAAAACGGTTTTGACGTCTTCTGACGTCAAGTAATCGAGTTTGTGAGTTTTGGAGATAGCGTAGGTTAGCGTGTCACGGTTCCATTTCGGTTTACCGTTGAAATACGTATAATGCGCCGTTGTGTGGAGGACATCGTTGTTGATGGTCATGTGCGTATCGCTAACGCCACATCGCGGTAACGACATGAGAGTAACTGTACTCGTGTCGAGTCTTCCGGTTATTGGTAAACCGAGATTTTCTTGATACAGAGAGATTGCCGATTCCAGAGGACCATCGAACACGTCGGAAAATATTTCGGAGCCATCATTGACGTAACCGAATCGGTGGAGGTATCTTTTGAGCTCTGATACGCCGCTGACGTGGCTACCTATTTGGACATCTACAAGACGAGAGAAATCATGCCACGTGGAATTGCTGACGTGTATTATTTGAGTTGCTTTTGCTGTGGATTGTTCCGCCTCCGGCGTGTTTCTAGCGCCAAACCGGTAAGGGAAGCAGAACAAGATTAAAACAAAACAGAGAGCTCTGTTCCTTCTATAGATTAAATTACGAGACATTTGCCTGCGTGAGATTAAAAGATTCTGAATTTTTTTGATTTAAATAAGAAGTTCCGTGGAGGTAAGATCGATGGAGAAGAAAAGGTGAAAGAGAGACAGAAAAAGGGGAAAGAGTTAAGTAGATTCTGACGTGAGGGTACATTTAAAACCTCAAAAGAATCTATGATTTGGACTACTACTTGGAAGTTGGTTCGTCGGGTGAACTGAATTTTTACCGGTTTAAGAATACATTTGTAATAGTTCCTTACTTGTTATATAATACGACAATTAACTACACGATTCAATTCGATTTATGATCACCGTATCATGTATGTGACTACGTGGATATTTCATACATATGACCAATGTTTAGAAGTTCGTGCTAATTGGATGGCAAAGATTTACTGACCAAATATTGTAATAGATTCGGCTTCTTTTACACACACCAAAAAAGAAGGCAAACAAAAAGTAAATCAAGCAACTAGAGGAATTAAACAAACAGAAAAAACATGATCTTTTTAAAAAAATGAGAGCTTACAAAGATTTTTTTTTTTTTTTTTTTTAGGAATAGAAATTTACTTGGACTATCACTTTCTAAATAGAGTTTTTTTTTTTGTATTTGAGAGTGTAAAATATAGTAATAAAATTTTGTGAGGCGATATTGAATGCTAATTAGTTAGAGATTAATTAATGATAGCTTTTTTTGGTGACTATATATGTTGATTAAAGGATAAAATACCACAAAATATAATTTCAAATAAATGAAAATTATTGGATTGATATGTCTACTACATCACATCATACTGTATATCGGACATAAAAGCAAGTACGTAATTAATGGATTGATGATATTCGTGAGCTAATTAAGCTATGAGTGTGACATAGATAATATGGAACGGGTTCGTTGGAGTATAGTTGAGGTAGCTAATGAGTTTGTTGACCAGAATTAGGTAAATTTCAATTTCAATAATATATCCGATCCTTTTTTAACTGGAGTATTATTTAAGAATAATCAAGACCTTCTCAAGGTTTACTAGTTCAGATTCTTCGTTATTGGGAAAGTTTGTCTGAAGAAGAAATCCTTAGAATCATGGAGAGGGTTACGTGTGAGAGGAGACAACTAACAGAAGAGTCTCCTGTTGAACAAGATAGGGAGGTTGAACCAAAAGGATAAACAATTCTACCAATTAGCTTCAATTATTTAATTAGTTTTGTAGATTAGTCCTATCGTATTCAAACTCTCTTAAGCATACCATTGTTTTCTTCGTTGGAGGCTGCCTATGTTTATCTACTATTATTAAAAACTATAGATACGTCACATAAGAAATAAACAGATGTAATAAGATTAACCAACTAGATGAATTACCTTTGGTTGTTGAAAGGGAGATAAATTATAACTGATGGTGATGTAATGCATTCGGAGAAATTCTGAGAGAGACATGGACAATGGCACTAGAGGTGTCCCAACAAATTATATTTCCACACATTATTATTCGATTAGGGTTCCAAATTCCATCCACTTGTTTTTTTATCCATATTGATTTATTCATATAAAACATATCATTATCGTATTTTATAGCGATAAAAAATAAAACGTTATTCAGTATATTTCGTAATTCTTTGTAGTGCTAGGGACTTACCTGGACGGGATCAACTCGTGATCAATAAGACAAGTGGCCTAGGCTAGTGATCGCATTGCACATATCGTTTGGGTGCTATGCTTAAGGTTTTCCTTTAAGGAAGAGTATGCGTCATTATTTGTGACAGAGGAGATTTGCATTCGCGCAGTGCTACTGATTTTCAATTTTCCACTCTTGTCACGAGTACTGTTGAGAGTTAAAAGGTTCATTGTCAAGAACATAATCGGCATTTTAGTCTTTTGGACTCAACATTTGCATTAATTGTATTCAATATAGATGGACCATGGAGGCGTGAATATTGTTCTAACTGCTAAGGACATCATATCTCGATATACTAGCTTGACCAAATGGTTGAGCTCTTTACATACTCTTCCTCAATCACTCGTAAAATTGAACAAAAAAATTTCAAATCCCCCGTTTCAAGGAAATTATTTAATATTCTTTCATCCTTATTTCAAACTCACTATATAAATTAAAATATTGCTTATTTATAAGCTCATTATACAAATTCCATATAGATTCTCGTCCCTTTGATTAATAAACGTCAACTAATTAACGGTAATAACTTATTATATAGTACCTTACAAATCTCTAGATTGGTGGTCCAACGGTATTTGGATCAACACCATTGAAATAATTTAGTTTATTGCCGATTTAAAGTAGATTAATTATCCTAATGACAAATATGAATTTTTTTTTCTTCTTTTTGTCATCACAAATATGAATTGGTATCCTCATTGGCCTGATTAACATTTCTAATTACGGATCTTACCTCTTCGTGCCAAAGAAGACATTTGGAAATATATGACCCCCATAAACCAAATATATGTTTCTTATTAATGTTGTGGAATTTGGGACATTTTTTAAAATGGACAAAAGAAGACAGAAACAATTTTCCTACCCAAAATGGCGTCCTTAATTTTTTCATTAAATTGTAAAGCCTGTTTCAAAAGAAAATTGACTTTTTGTTGTGATAGTATAAAAAATGACATTTGACTTTTTAAGTGACACCAAGATTCTGACAATAACGAATTATATCCATGCTAATTAATTGATAGCTTAATTAACAATTGCGCAACATAACGTGATCAAATTAATTAAGCTACATATCAGGCCTTGATCCGTGGTCCAAAGAATCATCCTACTAAAGAAAACCAGCTTGTTATAGTAAAAAGCCGAAATCGTGTAAATATCGGTTTAAAATATTCGGTATAGACTCTAATCTCGATTTACTCCGGTTTGGTTATCGTGTGTGTGATCGTAACTTGCCGGTGGATTTGCGACGGACACGTGGGTTGTTGTAATTGTCTCACGTGACTCATCGTAACTACCTTTAAATTCGCTACTGTGATTTTCCAGATTCTCATGTACATTTGTGACTTCTTCGGTCTATTTTTGTTATGTTTCCAAAAAGACATGAATGAAGAAACATTATTACATCTTTTTTTTCCCTTAAGCCTATTTAAAATTGATATTTCTAAATTCGAACTATTTATTCACTAGTCGAAGCCTTCTAAAGCAAATCTGAGCTCTTAAGTTGCGCAGAAACCGGTTTAATATGTAAATCGTAACTCGGTTTAGATTAATTTCAGGTTATTTTTGTGATTAGTGTAGTTAACTAATTAATTCAGGTGAATAATTATATTAGAGAGAAATAAATTTCAGGACAAAAAGGCAAAGCTTTGGTACTGTCTCTTCTCTTCTCCGTCTTCTTCACCATTTCGAAAAATCTCAAAACTTTACAGAGAGAACGAGAGATCCTTTACATATACTTCACTGTCTTCTTGAAAACCCTAATCCTCCGATCTGTTTAACCTCCGATCAAGAGAGATTTCTTCAGCTTGTGTGTATCAGATTCCTTTGGATTCCCCGATTCTTCGTCGTATCGAATCGGGGGATGGCATTTCCGTGAAATCAGTGATGAAATTGGAGGTGAGAAGAAGTTATTTCTATCTATGGGCGTAGTAGCTGAGGTTTGGAGGTCGAGCGTGAGGCTATTAACGAACTCGCCTCAGCTTAACGGTGGCTCTCACAAGAGTGCGTTATGGAAGTGGCGATTTTTCTCTGCTCAGCCCAAAAGAACCGTAATGTGGACATGGGTTTGTGGTTTCATGCTTTTCTCTTTAGGAGTCATCTCACTTTTCACTGGTCACGTTGTCTCGCACCTTGAGTGGTATTCTCAGCAATTAAGCAAACGGAGCTTACTGGTACCTTTTAGCTTACTTAGTGTTTCGTTTGTTACTTCTTCTGCTCAATTTTGTAACCAAGTAGTGAAATTGGATGTTATTCTTCAGGATATGAGCCGTCGAGAACCAATTGATGTATGGAAGTCAAAATATTCGAAGTTTTTCTATGGATGCAGTGAGAGAGGAAGGAACTTCCTTCGTAAGTCAGATCTTCTTACATGTGTTGTTCTTGCCTCATTGAATAAGGGGTTATAAGAAAGTGAAAGTTTTGTCCTTTTTCCAAATTGATCTTGGATACTAGAAAGAAAAGTCTGTGGCTTTATTGATCTAACAGCATATTTGACTAAGCCTCTTTTTTAGTTTGGTTAATAAAAGCACATTTTGCTTTCTGGCAATATAAATTGGGAATTTGTTGATGTACAAGTGAATTAGGCTTCCAATATTTCTTGTTCTTTTATCATTGAAACTTCGTTGTGTAGATGAATTTTCCTCTCACATTTGTTTCAATCTTGTTTTGGGGTATGCAGCTGCTGTCCAGGAGCAGTCATCTAATGGATATTTGCTTATTGCAGCTAGTGGAGGCCTTAACCAACAAAGAACAGGAGTAAGTGAAATTATGTGTCAAGAATAAACGTGTTAGGATATTACAATTATATTGCTTATTTGCCCAACTAAAAAAGATTATGCTGCTTATTGTCCTTAGGGAGTTAGGACCTGCATTTTGAAAATAATGTTCTCTTTGTGTGCAGATAACTGATGCAGTGGTTGTTGCACGGATTCTTAATGCTACTTTAGTTGTACCCGAGTTGGATCACCATTCTTACTGGAAAGATGACAGGTAACTTTAGCAAGTTTTGGCAAGTGACCATCTTCAGTTGCCGTATCAATTACTTACTGAAATGTATCATCTAAATCTGTTTGTAACGCAAAACATTTACTGAAAAGGTTACTTTGTTCGCTGTGCAGTGACTTCAGTGACATTTTTGATGTTAACTGGTTCATATCTTCTCTCGCCAAAGATGTGACTATAGTAAAGAGAGTTCCCGACAGAGTCATGCGTGCGATGGAGAAACCTCCTTATACCACACGTGTGCCTCGAAAGTCTACTCTTGAGTATTATCTTGACCAAGTATTGCCAATTCTCACGAGGAGACATGTAAGACTATGTCACCTAAGAATCAAATTGTTTTAGTTACTTTATCAAATAGAATCATAGGTATTACTATTCATCTTTAGTTTTATCATCTTATAGCTAATTCATGTTTGTTGAAATCTTGCAGGTTTTACAATTGACAAAGTTTGACTACAGACTAGCAAATGATCTAGATGAAGACATGCAAAAGTTGCGCTGCAGGGTCAACTATCATGCTTTAAGATTCACAAAGCGGATACAATCAGTTGGGATGAAAGTGGTCAAGAGGATGAGAAAGATGGCCAAACGTTTTATTGCTGTCCACTTGAGGTTTATTAAGTTTCTTTAACAACCCATATTAGATTGTGTTCCCTGATTTTTGCTTAATAGTCTCAATCATGTTATAAGCATGACATCTTCATCTCCATGTTATTTATGTAACCATACTTTTACGAACTGCAGATTTGAGCCTGACATGCTAGCCTTTTCTGGTTGTGACTTTGGTGGGGGTGAAAAAGAGAGAGCTGAGCTAGCAGAAATAAGAAAACGATGGGACACATTGCCTGTGAGTTCAATATGTTCTTTTACATAACTTTCTTAATTTTCCAAGTTCTCTGCGTTATTCCTCTACGGCTCTACCTATGCAATAAACTGAAACTTGATATGTGTGTTTGCGCTTCTTATATTAAGAAATATGTTTATATATCTTGTTACATTCTTGATAATATCATAAAATAAGACCATTACACCCAAATTTTATTTTCTTGTGGAGAAGTTGTTTGGAGTTACAAAATCTCACTAGCCAATCACCGCAGGATCTGGACCCTCTTGAAGAAAGAAAGCGTGGGAAATGCCCTCTTACACCTCATGAAGTGGGCTTAATGCTGCGCGCTCTTGGTTTTACAAACGACACATATATCTATGTCGCATCTGGAGAAATATATGGTGGTGAAAAGACACTGAAACCACTGAGAGAGCTGTTTCCAAACTTTTACACCAAGGAAATGCTTGCCAACGATGAGCTCAAGCCTCTGCTTCCCTATTCTTCACGCCTTGCTGCCATTGACTACATTGTTAGTGACGAAAGCGATGTGTTTATCACTAATAATAATGGAAATATGGCCAAGATTCTTGCAGGCCGAAGGTAAGGATATTTTCCACTTGTCCCCATTAAAGATTTGCTGTTAAAAACTGTTTTCCAGTACGAAACAACAGGCGATAGCATCTTATCATCTGTTACTTTGAAATAAGTAGGCGATATATAAATATACTGCCCTTGCTTTGCCACATAGAATTAAATAGATTTGGTAGAGGCTTACCATAGCTACACGGCGCATTCTAATTCACGTTCGTACTGGTTGCATTTGCATCAATATAGACCCACGTGGAATTTGTTGTTCATGTATTGCTTGAACGGCCATGCTCGTTAATATACTAAACCCATCAGACACGAGATCATGACAGTTCTGAGTATGAATTTACAGGAGGTACATGGGTCACAAGAGGACCATCAGGCCAAATGCAAAGAAGCTCAGTGCATTGTTCATGGACCGGGAAAAGATGGAGTGGCAAACTTTCGCCAAAAAAGTGAAATCTTGTCAACGTGGATTCATGGGTGATCCAGATGAGTTCAAACCAGGACGCGGTGAATTCCACGAGTACCCGCAATCTTGCATTTGTCAGAGACCCTTCTCTTACGACAAAACCTCAACGGATGATGAAGAAGAAGACATGTCAGAAGAGAACCACAACAGCACCAGCCCTGGACATGTACATTTGTCTTCAGCAGACAATGAGCGCGACGAAGTTTTCCCTGACTAGCAAATTGGTTCTGAGG